GGAAATAGTAATAATAGACACTGGCAGCCTGTTTCATCAAATCCTCACTGTGGCTTTCTGAAGTGGTTACCATTTCCAGCTCCATTTTCCAGATGACGAAACTGAGGCTCTAAGAAGTCAAATCACTTGCAAGCATCCCTCATGCTCTTAGGAGCCAGGATTCAAACCCAGGTGCTCTGGCTTCCCTCCTGGTTTTCCTCCTGTCTGGTTCCACTGTTGCTGGGTGACCATTGTGACAGCATTCTCAGGGGAAGCTCTTGGGGTCACAATGGGCTGGGCTAGGCTGGGCCCCAAAACTCAGTTGTAGTCTTGGAAGGAACATGTGAGTATCCTCTGGGAGACCAGGCACAGAGAGAGAACCGAGGGCCAGGTCCATTGCTAAGGGCATTTTCCAAGACTCCTAAGTCCTCATGCCATCCCTTGAGGTAGGTATGCCATCCTCATCCCCAATGTACAGATGAGGAAACTGAAGCTCACAGAAGCTAAATTACTTATTCCAAGGTTATCTGGTGAATGAGTTTCCTCACGCTGCCAAAACAAAGTGTCACAAGCTAGTGGCTTAAAAGAACAGAAGTTTACTCTCCCGATTCTGGAGGCTGGAAGTCTGCAATCAGGGGACCAGCTGGAGGGAGAGGTCAGTTTTTGTATTTCATCTTTTTGTTGTTTCGTGCTGTTGAGTTGATTCTGACCCATATTGATCCCATGTGACAGAGTAGAACTGCCCCCTAAGGTTTCCTAGGCTATAATCTTTACAAGAGCAGATAGCCAGGTATTTCTCCCACAGAGCCACTGGCTGGGTATGAAACGCCAACCTTTTGGTTAGCAGCTGAGTGCTTAACTGCTTGTACCACCAGGGCTCCTGATTTCAGCCTCTAACCATTAACCATTGTTGTTGAGTGGATTCCAACTCATAGCGACTGTCATGGATTGAATTATGTCTCCCCAAAAACGTGTGTATCGATTTGGCTGGGCCATGATTCCTGGTACTGTGTGATTTTCTCATATGTTGTAAATCCTGCCTCTATGATGTTAATGAGGGAGGATGGGCGACAGTTGTGTTAGTGAGGCAGGACTCAATCTACAGGATTGGACTGTGTCTTGAGGTAATCTCTTGAGATATAAAAGAGAGAAGCAAGCAGAGAGACATGGGGATCTTATACCACCGAGAAAGCAGTGCCAGGAGCAAAGTGCGTCCTTTCAACCCAGGGTCCCTGCGCAGAGAAGCTCCTAGTCCAGGGGAAGATTGATGAGAAGGCCAACAGAGAGAGAAAGCCTTCCTCTGGAGCTGACGCCCTGAATTTGGACTTTTAGCCTACTTTACTGTGAAGAAATAAATTTCTCTTCGTTAAAGCCATCCACTTGTGGTATTTGTTATAGCAGCACTAGATGACTATGACAGTGACCCTACAGGACAGAGTAGAACTGCCCCATAGGATTTCCAAGGAGTGGCTGGTGGATTCGAACTGCCAGCCTTTTGGTTAGCAGCTGAGCTCTTAACCACTGCACCACCAGAGCTCCGATTTCAGCCACTAGCAGCCAGCAAACCTTGGAGTTCCTGGGCTTGTAGACTCATCTGCCTCAGTCATCTTCAGACAGTGTCGTCTTGGCCTTGTGTCTGCTTGCTGACCTCTGTGTCTATGCTGCCCTGTATCACAAAGCAAGGAGCCAGCCCTGGTGGCAAATGGTTATGCACTCGGCTGCTAACCAAAAGGTTGGTGGTTCGAACCCACCCACCGGCTCTGCGGGAGAAAGACTTGGCAATCTCCTCCCGTAAAGTTTACAGCTTTGAGAACCCTACGGGGCAGTTCTATTCTGTCATAAGGGGCCCGACTATTAGTCAGGATCTACTTAACAACACGCAGCAAGAACATATTACAAAGCAGCAATTAGATTTAGGACACCCCCTACACTGATAGGACCTCATTAACATAACAAAGAAAAACCTGTTTCCAAACAGGATTACATCCACAAGTACAGGAGTTAGGATTCCAACCATATTTTGGGGGACACAGTTCAATCCATAACACCTGGTGTGTTCGTTTTCTTGGGCTGCCTTAACAAAGTACCACAGACTGGATGGCTTAAAAGAACAGAAACTCTCACAGTTCTGGAGGCTGTTGTTGTTGTTGGTAGGTGCCGTAAAGTTGGTTCTGACTCATAGTGACCCTATGTACGACAGAAAGAAACACTGCCTGGTCCTGTGCCATCCTCACAATTGTTGTTAAGTTGTTAAGTTTGAGCCAGTTGTTGCAGCCACTGCGTCAATCCATCTCTTTGAGGGTCTTCCTCTTTTTCACTGACCTTCTACCAACATGATGTCCTTCTCCAAGGACTGGTTCCTCCAGATAACATGTCCAAAATATGTGAGACCAAGTCTCATCATCTTCCCTTCCAAGGAGCATTCTGGTTGTACTTCTTCCAAGACAGATTTGTTCATTCTTCTGGCAGTCCATAGTATATTCAATATTCTTCACCAACACCGTAATTCAAAGGCATCAGTTCCTCTTTGGTCTTCCTTATTCATCGTCCAGCTTTCGCACACATGAAGCCACTGAAAACGTCATGGCTTGGGTCAGGCACACCTTAGTCCTCAAGGTGACATCTTTGTTTTTCAACACTTTAAACAGGTCTTGTGCAGCAGATTTGCCCAATGCAATACGTCGTTTGATTTCTTGACTGCTGCTTCCATGGGTGTTGATTGTGGATCCAAGTAAAATGAAATCCTTGACAACTTCAATATTGCCTCCGTTTATCATGATGTTGTGAGGATTTTTGTTTTCTTTAAGTTGAAGTGTAATCCATACTGAAGGCTGTAGTCTTTGATCTTCATCAGGAAGTGCTTCAAGTCCTCTTTGCTTTCAGCAAGCAAGGTTGTGTCATCTGCATAACGCAGGTTGTTAATGAGTCTTCCTCCAATCCTAATGCCCCGTTCTTCTTCATCTAGTCCAGCTTCTCACATTATTTGCTCAGCATACAGATTGAATAAGTATGGCGAAAAGATACAACCCTGACGCACAGCTTTCCTGGTTTTAAACCACGCAGTATCCCTTTGTTTTGTTTGAACGACTGGAGGCTACAAGTCCTAATTCAAGGTGTCGGCAGGGCCATCCTCTCTCTGTAGGCTATAGGGGGGATCCTTCCTGGTCTCTTCCAGCTTCCGGTGGTTCCCAGCAATCCTTGATGTTCCTGGCACGCAGATGCTTCACTCCAATCTTTGCCTCCACCTTCACATGACCATCTTCCCTCTGTGTCTCTTCCTTTTATAAGGACACCACTCAAATGAGAGTAGGACACACCCTATCTAGTATGATCTCTTGTTAACTGATAACATCTCCTAAGACCCTATTTCCAAACAAGTTCACGTTCAGAGGTACCAGGGGTTAAGGCTTCCACATATCATTTTGGGGGACACAATTCAATCCATACTAGCCAGCTAGTAAATCTCAGTGGCCAGGTTCTCCCATAAACTATTCTGAAATCTTCTTGTCTCCCAACTATTCCAGTTGGTAAAATGATAGAAAAAGCAACAAACCTATACACTGGAGAACTGGGGTTTTGTTAAAATGTTTGATGCATGTTTTTTAAAGAGGTGTACATGAGCAAGTCTTTGTGGGCTGAAGCAGTCTGGGAGGGCTTCCTGGAGGAAGTGAGCCTAAACCAGGCAGGGAGGAGAGTGGGGGAAACACTTCTACTCTAAGCAAAGGCCAAGTCCAGGGCTGGCCGAGTGGGGTGTTGGGAGCCTGTAGATGAAGGTCAGAGAAGGACAGTGGGAGGTAAGCAGATCTCAGACAGCTTGAGGGCAGACAGGGGGCACCTAGGAGAACAGTTTAGCCTGGGCTGAAGGACAGAAGTGGTTCCTAGACGTGAAGGAGAGGAAAGCAATGGCCTTGACTGAGGGTGAGGTACAGGGTTCCCGTGTCTGACAAACTGTAGAGTGCAGGGGTTAAGTCTGCGGGTTCTACAATCAGAGTCCTGGATTCAAATCCCGAGCAAAGGACAACCTCCTTAACCTGTGAAATAGTGGTTCATTTGCTAAAAATGTGCACAAAGTGAGTGTTCAGTAAACGCTGGCCACAGATTCACTTTTTTTGTATAATAACATGCCCCTCCCCTGCTCCAATCCCTACCATGGCTCCCACTTCACTCAGAGTAAAAGCCAAGGTCCTCATCAAGGCCTTCAGGGACTTGGCCCCCCATTATCTTTCCAATTTCATTGGCTACCACTCTCCCCCTTGCTCACTCGGCTCAAGCCTCAGGGCCTTTGTACCTGCTGTTTCCTCTGCCTGGAATGCTGATCCCTCAGATAGCCAAATGATCCCCCCCTCACCACACACACACATTCTTTTCAGGTCTTTGTTCAACTCTCATCTCAGTGAGGCTTTCCCTGACCACCCTACTTAAAATTGCAACCCTCCTGACCCCAAATCCCAATCCTTCTACTCTGCTGAACTTTTCTTTTTAATAGCACTTCTTGTTGTTTGGTGCCGTCCAGTGGATTTTCAACTCATGGCGAGTGCATGTGAGAGTAGAACTGCCCCGTAGGGTTTTCTAGGCTGTAATCTTTACTAGAGTAGACCACCAAGTCTTTCTCCTCCAGAACCGCTGGGTGGGTTCCAACTGTCGACCTCTCGGTTCGCAGCCGAGCGCTTAACCGTTGCACCACCAGGGCTCCTTTATTCGCACTTATCGCCTTCTTCCTTTGCAACTGGTTTTATTTTATTTATTTATTATTATCCATCTCCTGCCTGCCCCATTATCAACTCTACAAAGGCAGGGCTCTTGGTCTGTTTTGTTAACTCACGTCTCTCCAAGGGCCTCGAACAGTGCTTGGCATGCCGTAGGCGCCAACTAAATGATTACTACGATTATTCATATCTTTACTCTCCCTGGGGGTAAGGGCTGTGCCCAGTGCCTGGCACACAGGAATGAGGCATTGTCCTCGGTGGGCACTTGTTTAGCTCTTCGTCTCCGCCCCCTCGCAGGTGACGTCGCGTCCCGCAATGGCCACGACTGCCCTCCTGCCATATAGGCTGCCCCTGCAAGACTTCCTCAAGGCATCGCACTTCGCGCTGGGGCCAGACCCGCGGCTGCACAAGGGCGCCATGCACTCCACGTCGCGCCGGGACTTCCCGGCCTACCCGGGCGTCACCCGCCTGCGGCCGTGCCGCCAGCCGCCGCGCGCGCCCCTCTTCCAGCAGGACGCGTCCTGGGCGCTCAGGGACTGCCCGTCGGAATCGCACCGGGCCTTCCAGCAGCTGCCGCCGGAGTCTGCGCCGTCGGGCGATACGTTGCGGGAGCGCACGCTCGCCATGCAGCTCACCAACCTGCGCATGCACGCGGATGCGCACGCCGGCCCCGGCGTTCCCAGCGCGCGCGCCGCCTACGGCTGGCCTGAGCTGCCCGCGCGCGTTAGCGAGCAGATCCGCCGGGCTCGCCTCATCTTCGCCGGCGACTCGGTGCCGACCGGCGACCGCGCCAAGCTGGGCATCCCGCCCACCACGCACCAGGAGCTCTTCCCACCACACGACCCCTGCCCGAAGCCGCGCGCACCCTGCTACCACCTCGGTGAGCGCGCGCCCGGGCAGCATGGGCGATTGACTTAACCTTGGGCGATTCTCAAGTCCGGAGGGGAGAAGGGGATTCCGCCTCCCAGGCAGGGGACATTTGACAATGTCTGGAGACATTTTTGGTTGTCACGACTGGGAGGGAGGTGCTACATGGAGTGGGTGGAGGCCAGGGAGGCTGCTCAACGTCCTACAGTACACAGGACGGCCCCCACCACAGAGAATGACCCAGCCCCAGTGTCAGTATTAGAGTCAGACAAATCTGCTAAGCACCCCCGCCTCAGCCCTGCCACTTTAGTAGCAGTGTGAGTCTGAGTAACTTGACCCCTCCAAGCCTCAGTTTCCTCATCTGCGAAATGGGTACAATAACAGGACCCTGCTCCAGAGGAGCTGGTGAAGCCCAAGTAGCCCAGAGTGGACTACATGCCTAGCATGTAGTGAGCACTAAACCAAGAGTAGCCGCCATGTGTGATTTTTCCAATCCTGTGATTCCAGGGCTTTCTGTCGGGCGTCACCAGCTGATGTCCCTCCAAGCTGGGATCGGGGACTGTCACACCCAGATGTGACTCTTAGTTCTAGCTCCTAACTTATGTGATTTCTGGCAAGATGCTTAACCTCTCTGAGCCTTGGAGAGGCTGTAAAGTGGAGGAGTAATCCCAGCCTCAAGGATGAAGTGGAAAAGCATTTAACATAGATACCTGGCTCCGTACTTTGTTGTTATTGCCGTTATTGTTATTATTTGGGAGGTTTTCCGGCGGTCTTCAGGCTAGACTGGGTCAGGACTGCCTAGCTCCCGTTCCCAGACCTGAGACGGCAGGGAATCAACCCCACGCTGGACACCGTCACGCTCTCTCCCCTCTTGCCCACCTTCAGGAGGCCCCAACACCCTCAAGGGGGACCATAGGAGACAGACCTATGGGACTTCCTACCAGAAACAGTTTCAGGCCTTGCCGGAGCCACCCGCCTTGATGTGTAAGAGGGTAAATCGAGGCTGGGCTGGGCTGCTGGGGAGGGCAGCTATGGGCTGCCCTGGCCATCCCAACCCTGTTTGCCGCAGGCCTCCTCCAGTGTGGAATTGGGAGACTGCAAGATTGGCTATGGACCCATGTGCTCTGAGCAGAAACAGGCCTACAGGCCCCAGGGTCTGCCCCCAGACAGGTACAAAGGGACAATGGCTTCCTACAAGACGGGCAAAGGGCTCTCAGCGGCATACGGGGTGGGTCGCCATCCACTGGCAGGGCAGGACCATTACTGTTCCACGTCTTTCACGATTAGCGCTCCACGGCTTGGCTATTAGGCAACCTTCCTTTGGTCTTGCCTCCTCCCAGGCCATGGCCCCGCCCCTTTCTGTATCCGCCCCGGGACCCAACCCTAGTTCTTGCCCTCTGTCAGACTCCAGCTCCACCCCCTGAGCGGCGAGCCTACCCTAGCTGGCCCCGCCCTCAGACTCTTCTAAGATGGCCCCGCCTCTGGCCTTCTTGGCACCACCCTGGCTCCGCCCCTCCAACCAGGCTCCACCGTAACCAACTTCAGCATCGCCCCAGGCTCCACCCCTAAGCCCTCCCCTACCCGGGACCCCCCTCCCACGGCCTGGTGGCTCTCACCTCTCTTGCAGGTATAACAAGGCTCAGGCCACGGCCCACATCTACTATGTGAATATTCGTCCTGGAGACGGCCTCTTCCACGATGCCACCACCAAGACCCAGCACTTCTACCCCCGGGAGCTAGGTAAGATCCCGCTGCCTGCCCTTGCCCCTCGCACTGATGGCCGCCGCCCAGAGCGCCTCAGCATTCACTCTGCCATTGGCAGAGCCTTTTGTTCTTGGTCACGACCAGACTCCGCTGTCACACATCCTGGAAGGAAACCAGCGCCCTGGCCCGGGCAGCCTCACCACCTCCACGCAGTTCTTCCTCGGCCAGGTCAGCAGGATGGGGAGAAGGTGGCAGGGCCCACTGGAGAAAAGAGCTTCCCAGCAGAGCCAATAGCAGGTGCAAAGGCCCTGGGGTGGGAGTGAGCGTGGCATGCATGCGGGCATCCCATTGATCTATTTGAGTGATCTAGGGTATGTCTCTTAACCGCTCTGGGCCTCGGTGGCTCTGTCTGTAAAATGAAGTAACAGTACTAACTCCCCAGCAAGATCACGGGGGGCCCCAGGGAGGGCGAGGGAGCTGTCCAAGGTCACAGAGGGCGGACCGGGGCCTCGGGACATCCAACACGGGGCCTCCCAGATGCCATGTGGTCCTACAGCCACCGCCTCTGAACCGGCCACCCAACCGCCACTTGCCCCACGAGAAATTGCAGAACCACGTGACTCTAGGGGAGCCATCCCTGCTTGGACACTTCTTCCAGACCTCGATGGGCTCGGACTACCTAGCCCCGGAGGCACAGCAGCCACTGAAAGCGCTCAACCTCCACCTATTGGAGAGCAACCTGCCGAAGGGCACGGGCAGTAAGCACGGCCCCGCCCCCTCTGGAAAGCCTCCCTCCTTTGACGACTCTGGCCCTGCCCCCGCCCCGTCCACTCCCTGACTCTAGCTCCACCTCCTGATGGTCCAGATCCCAGCCTGAATCTATCAGGATCCCTACTCCGCCCAAGGACAACCCTGCCCCACACGGCCCTGCCCCTTGCCCCGCCCCCGGCACTGCCCCAAACTCTGCCCCAGAACCTTCCCCGACCCTTAGTCTCCCAAGGCCCGCCCTCTTGGCCCCTCTTCGTCTCCCTCCGTCCCTCAACTCAGCTACCCCACCCAAATGTCCAGAGCCAGATTTTTTAACCATGAACCAGAAGATGCTGAAGCCGCACAGAACAGCTCCGGCCCTGGTGACTGAGGAGCTGCTACAGCGGGTGAGGAAGGACAGGGGGGTATGCCCCTGACCGGGTCAGCCCCAAATCCTGGGAGGGGCACCAGGGTTATTGCAGGACAGTTATAGTGTCTCCCCGGAATCGGAGGTAGTGCAGAGCCAGCTCAGGGTCACTCTAGGGTCACCCCAGGGCACAAGGGTCATCTTAATGTCATCCTAGCTCACCCCAGGGTCAGGATCAGCTCAAAGGCATCTTCACATCAGGATCAGCGCAAGGTTATACCCTGAGCTGAGGGCTACCTCGGGGTTGCCTACAGTCACCCCAGCCCTGCAGTCACTCCAGGGCCACCCTTGGTTTTGCTCCAGCTTCTCATTCAGCTCTGGGGTCAGACCAGCTTCGAACCCAGACACCAGCTAAAGCTGGCCCAGCCCCTCCCCAGCTTTGATGTTCCCAAGGTACATGGGCACCATGGGGTGGCCTGGGTGGGTCAACTGCCCTCCAGGCTGCCCAACCAGGCCGCTCATCCTGTCTCCACAGTGCAAGTACACCCACGTGGAGCCCCCGCTGGGCGGACAGCGAGTCTTCTCTACCCGCTACCAGGAGGAGTTTCCCTACAAGTACCAGGGTCCCGTGACACTGACCTGGGGTAACTTCCAGGAGAGCCACGTGCCCCTGGGCATACCTCGCAAGTTGGGCTGCGAGGAAAGGAAGGACGCTCAGGCCCCCCAGACTCCCATCTACCCATGCCACAGCCAGCAATAAACACCACCTTGGCAACATCCCTGGTTCCTTCTCCAACAGTACCCCCTGTCTTAGTTATGTAGTGCTGCTATAACAGAAATGCCACAAGTGGATGGCTTTAACAAAGAGAAATTTATTCTCTCATCGTCTAGTAGGCTACAAGTCCAAATTCAGGGCATCAGCTCCGGGGGGAGGCTTTCTCTCTCTGTGGGCTCTGGAGGAAGGTCCTTGTCATCAATTTTCCCCTGGTCGAGGAGCTTCTCAGGTGCAGGGACCCCAGGTCCAAAGGACGTGCTCTGCTCCTGGTGCTGCTTTGTTGATGGTATGAGGTCCCCCTGTCTCTCTGCTGGCTTCTCTTTTATATCTGAAAAGAGACTAGCTTAAAACACAATCCAATCTTGTAGATTGAGTCCTGCCTTATTAACATAACTACCACTGACCCCACCTCACTGACATCATAGAGATAGAATTTACAACACACAGGAAAATTGTATCAGATGACGAAATGGTGGACAATCACACAATGCTGCGAATCATAGCCCAGCCAAACTGATACACATATTTTTGGGGGACACAATTCAATCCATGATACCCCTCATCACCCAGCCATTTAAGAGGGAGCTTGGGGGAGTAGGGGCTGGAGGGAGGGCTGTACAGGCAGGGAGTGACTTCAATGAGAAAACCCTGGATGTCCAGGCACTTCTGTGGACCCTGCGGTCACCCCCTCCTGGGCAGGGAGGCTATTCCAGCAAAGGCTCAGCACTAGGACTCAGCGTAAGGTATCAGACAGTGGAGGCAAGTACTGATTGGCATGGAGAGTATGGAGTCATAGTGCTGGACAGAGACAGAGTCACAAAGGTTTGAGAAGACAGGCTCCTGAGGCTGGATGGTTGTTATTGGGTGCCGTCGAGTCTTTTCTGACTCATAGCGACCCCATGTGACAGAATAGAACTGCCCCATAGGGTTTTCTTGGCTGTAGTCTTTACAGAAGAAGATCACCAGGTCTATTCTCCCATGGAGCCATTGGGGGGGTTCAAACCACAGCCTTTAGTTTAGCAGCCGAATGCTTAACTGTTATGCCACCAGGGCTCCTGGGCTTGGATGGACAGAGTTCAAATCCTGAGTCCCCTACACCCTGGGTGGTAACCTTGGGCAAGCCTCTGAGCCTCAGTTTTCTCATCTGTAAAATTGTTGTCAGCTGTATTGAGTCAACCCCCAATTCATGGTGACCCCATGCACAATGTTTGGAACTATTGTGATCCATAGAGCTTTCATGGGCTGATTTTCAGAAGTAGATTGCCAGGCCTTTCTTCCTAGTCTGTCTTAGTCTGGAAGCTCCACTGAAACCTGTTTGGTATCATAGCAACATGCAAGGCTCCACTGATAGGCAGGTAGTGGCTGCTGCCAATGAGGTACATTGGCCAGGAATCGAACCCAGGTCTCCCACATGGAAGGTGAGAATTCTACCACTGAATCACCAATGCAGCTCTCTCATTAGGTTGTTATAAATCAGAAATGCACAAATCTGTTAGCATTGTGTGGTGGGTGATCAGGGAGGGGAGCTTCCTTTCTGGGGATGAAGGTGAGGACAGGGGAGGGAGACAAGGCAGGGCAGGGTAGGCACAGCTGGGAAGCTGAGTGGTGCTGGCTGGGTCAGAGCTGGATCCAGGGTAATTTTTCTTTTTTTTTACTATTCTTTTTTGTTTGTTTATTGTTGTAGTTTATGTGAAAGTTTACATTTCAAGTAAGTCTCTCATACAAAAATGTATACATACGTTGTTATGTGACCCTAATTGTTCTCCCTATACTGTGACACCACACTCCTCCTTTCCACCCCTAATTTCCCATGTCCATTCAACCAGCTCCTGACCCTCTCTGCCTTCTCATCTCATCTCCAGACAGGAGCTGCCCGTTTAGTCTCACATATCTACTTGAGCTAAGAAGCACACTCTTCACGAATATCATTTTATGTCCCACAGTCCAGTCCAATCTTTGTTTGAAGAGTTGGCGTCAGGAATTGTTTTAGTTCTTGGCTGACAGAGAGTCCGGAGGCCATGCTTTCTGGGGTTCCTCCAGTCTCAATCAGACCATTAAGTCTGGACTTTTTATTAGAATTTAAGTTCTGCACCCCACCTTTCTCCTGCTCCATCAGGGACTCTCTGTTGTGTTCCTGTCAGGGTGGTCATTGGTGGTAGCCGGGCACCACCTAGTTCTTCTTGGATCCAGGGTAAATTGCCAGAAGTTATTAGGACATAAAGGAGCTCTGGTGGTGCAACAGTTAAGCATTCAGCTGCTAATTGAAAGATTGGCGGCGGTTCCAACCCATCAGTGACTCCATGGGAGAAAAGACCTGGTGATCTGCTCACATGAAGATTGTTGTGCTGTTGTTCGGTGCCATCAAGTCAGTTGCAACTCAAAGCAGCCCTGTGTACAACAGAACAAAACACTGCCCGGCCCTGCACCATCCTCACATTCGTTGCTATATTGGAGCCCATTGTTGCAGCCACTGTGTCAATCCATCTCGTTGAGGGTCTCCCTCTTTTTTGATGACCCTCTCGTTTACCAAACATGATGTTCTTCTCCAGGGACTGTCCCTCCTGATAACATGTCCAAACTACGTGAGACGAAGTCTCACCACCTTCCCTTCTAAGGAGTATTATGGCTGCACTTCTTCCAGGACAGATTTTTTTGTTCTTCTGGCGGTCCATGGTGTATTCAACATTCTTTTCCAACACCTTAATTCAAAGGCATCAATTCTTCTTCAGTCTTCCTTATTCATGTTCCAGCTTTCACACGCATATAAGGCGATTGAAAATACCATGGCTTGGGTCAGGCGCACCTTAGTCCTCAAAGTGACATCCTTGCTTCTTAGCACTTTAAAGAGGTCTTTTACAGTAGATTTGCCTGCTGCAATACATCGTTTGATTTCTTGACTGCTGCTTCCATGGGCGCTCATAAAGATTACAGCCTAGGAAACCCTATGGGGCAGTTCTACTCTGCCCTGTAGGATTGCTATGAGTCAGAATCGTCTAGATGGCACCAAACAACATTAGAACATGACACAACTCACGGGTGTCGGTATCCAGTCAGGAACAAAACGGCAGGGTTGAAAAGAGGAGGATGGAGTGGGTCCCTGAAGCCTGTGGTTGACAGGGCTTAGCAAACTTATTAAGGACCAGTACCTTGGACAGCACCCCACCTCAAAGACCTGGCTTCTGAAAAGGTCAGCACCAAGAATCCGGCTCTGTGAGGGATAGAATGGGCCTTGATGGCCATGCCCAAGGCCTGTTGAGCATCTGGTTTCAGGGAATGGACATGACTTGATGGTTCTGACTTTCTGGCCCTGGAGTAAAACCTTCGAAGATCAAGGTTCCCAAACCAATTGGCCACTGGAAGCCAACCTCAAGCCCAACCAGGAGGCTTTTCCCCAAGAGTGGTAGTTCTTCAAGGCCAGTTTGCCATTTCCATAGGAAGAAGTCCAGCTTTTGGTTCTACAAGGACAAGATGGCCCTCTTGGCAGTGTCCATGTCTGCTGGCTGCAGAGCCCCCCTTCTGCTTGCCTCCTCTAAAGATGATGTGCGGACATTCCAGGATTTCTTAATCTCAGTACTGTTGACACTTTGGGCTGGACAAGTCTTTGTTATGGGAGCTGTCCTATGCATTGTAGAATGTTTAGCAGCATGCCTGGTCTACCACTAGATGCCAGTAGCACACTCTCCACGCCACCCCCCCCACTTGTGACAACCAAAAATGTTCCCCAAGAGAAAAAATTACCCCTGTTGGAGAACCACTGCAATAAAGTCATTCTAGAATTATTGCTGGGACAAAATCAGGCTCTTCTGATAAATCAAGTCTGCCTGTTGCCTAGACAACTAGAACAGGATTTTCCCTTTTTGCTGTGCCTGCCAGGAAGCTCAGAAAGTTTACTTTGGTGTTCAGTTCCATGTAGCTCCAGTTGCAGGGTTATTTGTGCTGCTGCCTAGTTCCAGGACTGGTTTAAAGCAGCCCAGATGCCAAATGGGTAGGAGTTACAAGCACGCAGATTTCAACACAACTTGAAACATTTCCTAATAATGGAACTGACAAGCCCTGGGTGGGGTTGCCAAGGATGAAGAAAAACTTCACTGGAAATGTTTAATCAGTGCAGAAAGACACTACATTCTGAATGTATTTTATTGATTTATGTTTATCCCACCTATAACTGCCCCTCTCAAAAACAAACTTAAAAAAAATTTCAGAAGATCAACAAAACTGATAAACCATCAGCCAAACCGACAAAAGAAAAACAAGAGAGGAAGCAGATAACCCGTATAAGAAATGAGATGGGTGGTATCACAACAGACCCAACTGAAATTAAAAGAACCATAACAGAATACTATGAAAAATTGTACTCTAACAAATTGGAAAACCCAGAGGAAGTGGACAAATTTATAGAAACTCACTACCTACCTAAACTAACACAAACAGGTAGAACAACTAAATAAACCCTTAAAAAAAGAAGAGATTGAAAAGGTAATTAAAAAACTCCCAACAAAAAAAAGCCCTGGCCCAGATGGCTTCATTGGAGAATTCTACCAAACTTTCAGAGAAGAGTGAACACCACTACTACTGAAGGTATTTCAGAGTATAGAAAAGGATGGAATACTCCCAAACTCATTCTACGAAGCCAGCATAACCCTGATACCAAAACCAGGTAAATACACGACAAAAAAAGAAAATTACAGACCAATATCCCTCACGAACGTTGACGCAAAAATACTCAACAAAATTCTAGCCAATAGAATTCAGCAACATATCAAAAAATAATAATTCACCATGATCAAGTAGGATTTATACCAGGTATGCAGGGATGGTTCAACATTAGAAAAACAATCAATGTAATGCATCACATAAACCAAAGGCCAGAACCACATGATCTTATCCATCAATGCAGAAAAGGCATTTGACAAAGTCGGACACCCATTCATGATAA